AAAGAATGTGACACCCACCACTGGCACTTCAAGATGCACCATCTGAGACAGGGACTCAGAGACAGGTTACCAGAGTCAGACAACCACCTGTGTGCACTAGAGGCTACAAGCATCGCCCACCTGCGATACTCACGGGGAGGGGATTTCATATCCCCACACACACTTTCTCCCCAGGCTCCCTTGCAGCTGCCAGACCCACTGACTCCTTCCCTCTTGGTGGCTTGTCTGGAGTTGCTCCAGACAGCCTCGCCAAGGCATCCTCCCCCCCCTTCCTCTTTCAGTGGCTCATCCAGAACTGCTCTGGAAAGGCTCACTGAAGCTTCCTTCTCCCCCTTCCTTCTCCTGGCTCCAAGACTCCCCCAGCACATACCTGGGCAATAGCACCCGGGCTATGGGAGACTGGCCTGGCACAATGGAGCCTTGGGGGAAGCGAGGCTGCCCATGAGGCAGTGGCTAACCTGCAGAGCGATGCCACAAGGCCCGATCCCCCGACCAACGCCAAGCCCTTGAGCTTGGAGGAGGCGCAAGGAGGAGGCCTCAGGATGCCTCAGCCAGGCCAGACCATGGAGCAGGTGGCGTTGGGACCTTTACCTGCTGTGCGAGGCAACAGCATACCTTAGTGGGCTGTCGGCTGGCTGCCAGGCGAGCAGAGCATTAGCAGGAGGATACCAGGGCTGGCTGGCAGCCCTTCACCAGGAGAAAGATGAAACGAGTGAAGTGCGGCCGGGCTCAGAGCTGCGCTCAGCGTCCTCACCACTATTTCCAAACAGACAGAAGAAACGGGGGGGGGGAGTGTTGAGGCGAGGTCCCTGAAGTATCCAGAGCTCCCTTGCATGGCAGCCACAGTTCCCAAGGGTAAGTCCATTCTCTGCTCAGGGATGGTTGCTGCTGCTGTGGCTGTTGGAACAGGCCACGGAGTGAAATGACAGCCCCAGGGTGTACCAGGAGTGTTCTGGAACTGGGATGACAGGGCCAAGTGTGGAATGACAGCTCCAGGGTGCAGCAGGAGTGTTCTGGAACTGGGATGACAGGGCCAACAGGAAGTGGAACCAGCCAGGAACGGATGTACCTTCAGTCACATAGTGACAATCTTCTAAGGTGGGAGCCAGATTCTGCCAAATGAACGGTTCTAAAAATCTACACAGCCAATCTGATCTCAAATGGATAATTAGAAGACCTGCTGGAATGCAGTAGCAGTAGTCTAAACTCCATTCATTCACTTGGCCTCTTCTGGACTAAACCAATCTGAGAAACAAGAACTGAAAGCAAAATGATAGGAAGTTCCCTCTGAGGTCTGACTACAAGTTATCACTAAGTGACTGAAGGTACGCTGCGGCCATCCGTTCCTGGCTGGCTCCACCTCCTGCAGCAGAGATTTTGTGTCTGCATTCAGCATAGTGTGTCAGAATTACAAAGGTGTCGCAGGCTCAAAAAGGTTGGAGGCCCCCGAGCTAGACTACAGGTTGGAATATTTCACAGAGACTATGGAGGGGGGTCTCTGGGTCAGTGGGCAACAGAGTAGGCAATAGTGTGCGAAGAACGCAGGCAGAGTGTGACACACGAAGGGAACATGGAGGTAAGAAAGGCAGCAGAACTGGACACTGGAACAGGTAGAGGGACAAGGGCAAGATTTATAATTGACAAAGGAGGAGGAGGTTCACATCAACCTCATGAATTTGTAAGGAAACAAAGGAGCTGAGATGGAGCTGATCTGGTGGTAGCTACACACATTCCAGAAATATTTAAATGTAAAGTCCTTCACTCTACAGTTTGCAAATCCAGTTGTGCAGAACTGCCTCAACACCCAGGGTCTCTCCTTCCATACTAGGAACTGCCATTCCAGGCCCATAAGTCTCCTGCTACTTCCAGGGACTGTCAATCTACCTTGGAGCCTGTCATTCTATTCCCAGAATACTCCCAGGGGCTGTCATTCCACATATTGGTCTCCAATTCCAGAACACTTCTACCACTTCCTGGGGAAGTCATTCCAGTCCAAGAGCACTCCTGCTACATCCTGGGTCTGTCATTCCACTCTGGGGGCCCTCATTCCAGTCCCAGAACACTGCTGCTAAACCTCGAGGCGTTCACTCCACTCTGTGGCCTGTCATCCCACTCTGGGGCCTCTCATCCCAGTCCCAGAATACTCCTGCTACACCCTGGGGATCTCATTCCACTCTGTAGCCTGTCATCCCAGTCCCAGAACCCTCCTGCTCCACCCTGGGGCTGTCATTCCACTCCGTGGCCTGTCAACCCAGTGCCTGAACACTGCTGCTCCACCCTGGGGCTGTCATTCCACTCCGTGGCCTGTCAACCCAGTGCCTGAACACTGCTGCTCCACCCTGGGGCTGTCATTCCACTCCGTGGCCTGTCAACCCAGTGCCTGAACACTGCTGCTCCACCCTGGGGCTGTCATTCCACTCCGTGGCCTGTCAACCCAGTGCCTGAACACTGCTGCTCCACCCTGGGGCTGTCATTCCACTCCGTGGCCTGTCAACCCAGTGCCTGAACACTGCTGCTCCACCCTGGGGCTGTCATTCCACTCCGTGGCCTGTCAACCCAGTGCCTGAACACTGCTGCTCCACCCTGGGGCTGTCATTCCACTCCGTGGCCTGTCAACCCAGTGCCTGAACACTGCTGCTCCACCCTGGGGCTGTCATTCCACTCTGTGGCCTGTCATCCCACTCTGGGGCCTCTCATCCCAGTCCCAGAATACTCCTGCTACACCCTGGGGATCTCATTCCACTCTGTAGCCTGTCATCCCAGTCCCAGAACCCTCCTGCTCCACCCTGGGGCCGTCATTCCATTCTTGTCCCTGTCATCGCAGTTCAAGAAAACTCTTGCTCCATCCTGGGGCCGTCATGCCACTCCGTGGCCTGTCATCCCAGTTCCAGAACACTCCTGCTGCACCCTGGGGTCGTCATTCCACTCCGTGGTTGGTTATCCCAGTTCCAGAACACTCCTGCTGCACCCTGGGGTCGTCATTCCACTCCGTGGTTGGTTATCCCAGTTCCAGAACACTCCTGCTGCACCCTGGGGTCGTCATTCCACTCCGTGGTTGGTTATCCCAGTTCCAGAACACTCCTGCTGCACCCTGGGGTCGTCATTCCACTCCGTGGTTGGTTATCCCAGTTCCAGAACACTCCTGCTGCACCCTGGGGTCGTCATTCCACTCCGTGGTTGGTTATCCCAGTTCCAGAACACTCCTGCTGCACCCTGGGGTCGTCATTCCACTCCGTGGTTGGTTATCCCAGTTCCAGAACACTCCTGCTGCACCCTGGGGTCGTCATTCCACTCCGTGGTTGGTTATCCCAGTTCCAGAACACTCCTGCTGCACCCTGGGGTCGTCATTCCACTCCGTGGTTGGTTATCCCAGTTCCAGAACACTCCTGCTGCACCCTGGGGTCGTCATTCCACTCCGTGGTTGGTTATCCCAGTTCCAGAACACTCCTGCTGCACCCTGGGGTCGTCATTCCACTCCGTGGTTGGTTATCCCAGTTCCAGAACACTCCTGCTGCACCCTGGGGTCGTCATTCCACTCCGTGGTTGGTTATCCCAGTTCCAGAACACTCCTGCTGCACCCTGGGGTCGTCATTCCACTCCGTGGCTTGTCATTGCAGTTCCAGAACACTCCTGGTACACCCTGGGGCCGTCATTCCACTGTTGACCCTGTCATCCCCGTTCCAGAACACTCCTGGTACACCCTGGGGCTGTCATTCCACTCTTGGCCCTGTCATCCCAGTACCAGAACACTCCTGCTCCACCCTGGGGCTGTCATTCTACTCCGTGGCCTGTGAACCCAGTGCCTGAACACTGCTGCTCCACCCTGGGGCTGCCATTCCACTCCGTGGGCTGTCATCCTAGTCCCTGATCACTCCTGCTCTACCATGGGGCCGTCATTCCACTCTGTGGCCTGTCATCCCAGTTCCTGAACACATGTGTTACTCCCAGGGGTTGTCATTGCACTCCGTGGCCTCTCCTTCCATCCCCAGAGTAGTGTATTTGGGCCCAGGGACCCTAATGGAAAATCCATTCCGCATTTTTATTGCAACTCTACTTGTACCCTAATGTTTTCCAATGGAGTCCATGCAAGTCAATTTGCATTCCTGACTCCCATTATTTCCAATGGGCCTTCCAGCGTCTCCCATTGTTTCCAATGGGCAATCCTGTCCTTCCTTTTAGTACATCCCACCTTGGGGTCCTAGGGGCTAATTCCACCTCTCGCGTCTGATGGCCCAACGGCAACGGCGCTCGGCCATCACACCAGAGAGGTCATTCTGGCTCCCCCAGGTCTTGTCAGGGGCTCTTTAAAAAGTTATGGCTGCCGGTGGCGGCAGCAGCGCTAATGGCAGGGGCAAGGGTGGGGGGAGGCGCGAAATGTTCCTCCGCTTCTCTGAGCCCCGGGGTGGTGGCCTTGGAGTCCTAGGGGCAAATTCCCCCTCTCGCGTGTGATGGCCAAGGCATAGGCGTAATCTTCGTGGGGGCGGCGGGGCTTCAGCCCCCGCCGAAATTTTCAGGAAGGTACTCAGCCTCCCCCGGGAGCCACCCTTGCTCCTAGCAAAGCAATGCCTCTGGCCCAGCCCCAGCCCCCCCCCCCCCCCCCCCCCGGGAAATTGGAAAGTCTGCTCCCTTGGGCCAAGGTCGCTTCTTTGGCCCGCCTTGTTCATTTTCTGTCTTCTCTGTGCAACAATAAAAAATAACGTCCCAGTAGGAACCGATGCCCCCTCAGTATACATTTCGGGACCGTCGCGCACCTGCGCCTGTGTTCGCTTCGGATCCGCCTGTAGGCCCGGATACCGACGGATACCCTTCGGCGCCTGCGCACAGTTTCAGTTGTCATAGCGACGGTAGGCGGTACTTTGGGGGGGTGAGTGGGCGGGCGAATGGAGGAAGGGAGGGTCGAGGATGCCGGCTGCTTGTTGCCCAGTCAGAAAGCCGCGTCGGTCCGGAAGGCGGGCGCAGACTGGAGTTGCTGTGCCAAGCCAAAGCAGCCATCGGCGAGGACGAGTCGGGTTACTGCTTGCAGTGTGGGGGGGAGGGGGGAAGGGTCCGTGCCCGGCCGCCTACTATGAGAGGAGGCGATCGGGAGGAGGCGGCTGCGGTGGCTCATGCCGCCGCCCCCGCGCAGTAGCCTGGCTGTCGGGCGCTGGGCCGTCGTGACAGGCACCAGGGCCTCCCCCGCCCCCTGCGCTGTTTGTGTGCGTGAGTCTTCGCACGCGCCAGACGGTTGCTCGGCCGGTTGTTCTGGGGCCCGACCTCGCTCGCGCTCTCTTTCGCCCGCCCTTCCTTAGCTCACCATGCGGCTGTGCGGGGCGCTCCTGAAGAGCCCCATCCCCAAGCAGCTCGAGTATTATTCCCGCTTTTCCCCGTCGCCGCTCTCGATCAAGCAGTTCCTGGACTTCGGTGAGTGACGGAATGACACCCGCTCGCGCGCAGCGCGACGCAAACAAACATCCCTCCGCCGCGTCTCTCTCCCCCTCTTGTCCTTGGAGGGGGCTGGTGAGGAAGCCGGCGACGATGCTCCCCTGTAGATCCTCACCGGGATGAGGGAGGGCTTGAGATGGGGGCGCCAGAACTAAGGAGGCCAACGAGGCTTTGAGAACGACAACAAGTTTCAGTGGGGCCTGCTGAGGAAAGAGGTCCCGGAGCCCCGTTTGAGCCGCTGAAGAGATGGAGGGTCCTGGGTGAACCAGGGCCTGTCGAGAGCAACCCCTGAAAGAAGAACTGGTGGGGAGCTGTAAGAAAGCTGGGGCTTGGCTTCTCTCACTTTAACAGATGTGTGGGATAGACAGAAGTTCAATCGATGGGGCTTTTCCCCACTGGGGGGATATGTGCCAGTCATGTAACCACCTGTTGTGTTATTATTTTAGTACATTTTTAACCCATATTTTCTCCAAGACACACTGGGTGGCATACATTGTTCTGTGCTCTTTTATCCAGACAACAGCCCCTATGAAGCTTAGAGTGACTGGCTCAAGGTCACACAGCAAGTTTCTTCCCAGAGTGGGGTTTGAACCTGGGTCTCTCAGATCCTAACTCTGACATTCTAATCACTGCAGTGTGCAGCTGTTGAGTGGCAGAAGATTCCTGTCTGAAAAACAAGGTGGCAAGCTTCCTTGGCTCAGTTCACATGTTACATTCTGATCCTTTAAATGCCAAAGGGTTGGGGTAATTCCCCAATCTAGTGTGAGATCGCCCCCCCCCCCCCCAGTTTCTGCTAACCATAGTTTGTCATATTGCCTGACTGGGCAATTACAGTTACTTCCAAATACTCCCTCTGGGGTCTTGTGAGCAAAAATTCTACTTTGTGAGCTACTGGCATTAAAGTTGTGAGCGATTGATTTGGCTACTGCATAAATTAGCTTGCTCTGGAGCCATCCTTCCTGAGCTAAGACAAAAATCTGTGAGCTGGACGCTAAAAAACTGTGAGCTAGCTCACACTAACTCAGCTTAGAGGGAACACTGCTGCCAACCACCAACTTGTGACTTAAAACTGTGGATTGAAGTGGGACTGCAAAATGTGGCTTGGAGACTGACATGAACCATACTTGTACGATTTGGATGACATGGCAGAATAGAGGAAAACCTTGGAACTGAAGGAATCATTATTTAAGAAGGAAGCAGGCTTCTGATCCTGCAAACCTTGCTTGCCTGAACTGAGTCATGGGCTTCCTTCCTTCCTATTTGGAGTTTTTCCAGAAATGTAGATTCCCATGCGACAGCTCTTATTAAAGCTCCTTGGGACAATTACCATAGAATTGGAGCAAAGTCCACTATTGCATCTTTCTGTTAAGCTAATGCAATTGTTACATTTTGTCCCTTCCTAAAGTTCTTTAAGTCTTTATTCCCCTTTTTGCTCCTGTTAAGTCCTTACATTCCTCTTGTGTTTCCACAACTCTCTAGTCATTCTCTTTGGTCCTGTTCCAGTCTATACTGCTTTCCTCTTGCCTATTGAAGTTCATATATATCACCACTCAAGCCTTCTAAACCTTATAGGTAACCTTGTAGGATAACTTTGCTTAGAACTGCACTGTTACATTTGATGGTCTGTGGACATTCTGGGGCCAACTCTTGTTTTAGTTGTTGCCAGTATGGATAATGCACACAACTTTCTGTGCATACGTATTTTTACTGCACTACCAACTAGAATGACTTCTGAAAAGGATTCTAGCAATGCTGGCACAGAAGAAAAAATATGTAATGTGCAGTGATATGAGAAACAACTGGGATTTCTATATGTACAATGAGCACAGAATGTAACCAGCTCAGTAGCAGGTTAAGTGGCCTTTTTCTAGCTGTCTAGGAAGCCTAGCTTTCTAAAAATAAGGATATATGAAGTTCCTAAGTTTCTGAGTCAACAGATGGACTCACATTCTGACTGTATTTGAAGAAGTGAGCACTGACTCACGAAATTTTGTTAGTCTTTAAGGTGCTACTAGACTCTTGGTCTTTTATATTGCTACAGACAAACTTGATGTATAAAATTGTAGATTTCAAATAATTCTGTGGTTGCATAATCATGTTTTTAAAGCCTAGCCCAAATAAGTCTTGCACCAGTTCTGAAAAACTCTTGGCTTTGAAGAACTACCAACAGGAGCTCTGAATAATTCATATTTATAGAATACACCATTCAGATTTGGCACATCAAAAAGTTATGTTAAGGTGGTCAAACTATTTCCTCTCAGGTAAAGGGAAGAGGAAATTATTCAGTTGGAATGTATTGTCTAAGAACTAATTTGTCAGTTATTTTAAAATGGTACTGGGAAACAGTGCAGTTAATTTGAAGAAACACATTTCTGTGCTTTAGGTAAAGGTAAAGGTTTCCCTTGCTCAAAAGCAAGTCGAATCCGACTCTAGGGATATGGTGCTCTTCTCTGTTTCCAAGCCGAAGAGCCAGTGCTGTCCAAAGATGTTTCTGTGGTCATGTGGCCGGCATGACTAGACGCCGAGGCGCACAATAAATATATCTACTTCTGTGCTTTACATTGAGATAAATCATGAAGTAACAACCTTGGAAACAACAAAATTTCCTCCATATGCACATTTCATAGATTACAGCTCAAAATGGTCCTGAGCTATCTACTCAGCCTTACTAACCATGTAAACATGTGTGCTGTCTTGATTGAACTGGAAGCTGGTTTTATGCAGCTTGGACAAAGTGTTCTTCTTGACTGACCAACGAAGTTGCAAAGACCATGCCTGAGCAACTTCAATAAATATATTTACTTAGATTTTTCATTAAGATACCACAAAATATGTGCCTGTAAGATTCCCCTACTATTGTATTGCCACTGAAAACATTTACAAAGGTCATTCACTCTTTGGGGAAGATTATGTAGCTTCATCAAACCTTCAGGGAAGAAAGTTTCATAATTAAAGAGTGCTCACTGAGAGACCTTCTCCATGTGCTTTGCTATTCATAGTTGCCTCATACAGGGTGCAACCCCAGAATTGCATTCAACTGACAAAATAGATACGCAAATGTAGCTTAAACCATGACATGCATTTCCCCCCCCCCCCCTAGAAAATTAGTGTGGGCCTTCTGAGAAGTTGTTGTGAATAGGATATATTGATTCAGCTATGTATATAGAAGGTCCTGCAACTGTGGGCATCCAGTTCTTGGAATTTTATGATATGGTTAGCCCTAGGCAGTGACTTTGTGCTTTTTGGCCTTTTAAAAAACAATAATAACCGTCCTTCCTGCTAGCCTCTCACAAGTATACAAGCTACCTAGTATGCTGCCAGGGACAGGAAACTGAATATTCACAGTGTGTTTCTTGAGTTTTTAGCTGAACACAAAAGCAGCAAATACTTAATGGTGAGAGAGATGTGTGGTTATTGGGATTTTAAAAGTACCCTATACACACAAAACCAGTTGCGGAGGGTGGGGTATAAATATAATGAAATAAGTAAAAAATAATATGACATCAGAATAAAAGCCCCATCAGTCCATAGATCGATGTGGTAAAAAAAAGAGCAGGAATTCAGTTTTTCATATTTCATCATGGTCATCAGAGATGCACGTCATATGCCACAACAAGTCATGCACCGGCTCTTATGGGAATGAGCTTTGAAAATCCTCAGGCTTGCATATTTTCTCTCCTTCCTTTTCCCTTTTGGAAATTAATTACTTCAGATTTCATGGCAAATTGTAGTTTACCATTTCATCCAAATTACAAACTGGTTTGTTCTCTAAATCATAATTTGAAACCATAATTTAATCATTGTTTGGAGGCAAGAGGACAAAGTGTAGTTTGGAAACAACAGGTTGCTGCAAAATTGGAAATTATTAATTTTTAATCTGTGCACATGATATGTATTGTACAGCTCTGAGGATTTTTGAAACCCATTCCTGTAACAAAAATAAAGATTGTCATATGTGGGCATAATATTGTTTCAGAATTATTTTACTAAGCTAGTTAAAGGATTGTCAAGGATGAGTTAGTGGAAAGATTGAAATAATGCCGCTTTTGGTTAGGTAGCTTGATAGAAAACATTTCCGCTTTTATTGGACATTGAAGAAACAAGATTATGGCCTAATTCAAATGTGATGCTTGTGATCAGAGAGAAGCAATAAATAGCATAACTGCTTTTATCCATCTAGGATTTCCCATTAGTCCTTTATATTTATAATTTTTTCAAGTCCTATATCGTACATGTATCAAACTCTGCCGAGCTAATGATATATATTCAAAGGACTGCTCCTTTTTATATGTCCTGTCATGCCCTTTGAAATGCACTGGGAATCACCTAGGCCTGATCATGTAAGCATAAATGTACCCCATGAGCTCTGCTCTCCTCTTACTTGGGCATTCTCCCTTTCCTTTCTTGAATGACCAGTCCCCCCCGGTGTAATATCAGTCACTTTGCTAACCATAGTAAACAAATAAAAGTTTCCTAAATTTGCTTCTGTGAGTGCAAAATGATGCTGAGAAAAGTATCAGTACATCCCTAATACTAACTGGCTTGGATTTAGGGTTGCCAGCCTTCATGTGGGGCCTGGGGATCTTCCGCTTTTACAGCTGATCACCAGCTGACAGAGATCAACTCCCCTGGAGAAAATGGCTGCTTTGAATGGTGGACTCTATAGCATTGTACCATTTATTACCATGCTGAGCCCCCCCCCAACCCCTTCCTCTCCCAGATCCAACCCCAAATTCTCCAGGTATTTTTCAACTCAGACCTGGCAACCCTACTTGGATTCCACCTAGATTTCCGTGGGCCAAGGATTTCCGTGGGACAAGGGCTATTTACACTATTCTCCCCTCATGTGGGAGACCTCTGATTCCCCCCTAAGCTATTTTCTGTGGCTCCTGTGTCCCCCAGGAGCAGTACTTCAGGCAGTGTTTTGGGCTGCTATGGCAATTGTCAAAAATTGCCTCCCTCATTGTATCCATGGAAAC